GGAGTTAGTAAACCTAACAGCATATACCTTTAAGACTTTTATTTTTCTAGCCATATCACGACCTCCAATAAATTTGATAGATTTGTTGGGATTGGACATATTGCACATCTGGGAAGCTGCCGGAGATCCAGTTAAAGCATCATCAAAATTATTCTCTACCTATTGCTTGGTGATCTTTTGCTTTTTTTCATGGAGACCATACATAACTTATACAATACAGTTATAATATGTCACAGAATCATAAACTCAATGTAAATCAGCATTGAGACCTAAAAAGGGAAGATGTCGATAAATCAACGAACACATTATGGTTTCTAGAAACATTTGAACTAATCCAAATCACAACCTTCCACTCTAGTTAAAAATACCACAGTAACCTTTTTCGTTTTATAATTGGTGGTTAATGATAAGTTGTATGCAAAACCTGCTGCCTAAAGCATAATAAAGCATAAAGGAAGAGTACAAACGAAGTTCCAAACAATACCATTCATATCGAAATGATTCTCTGGTCGCTTCTTCCAGTGGTCCTTCTGCCAAAATAAGAACAAGTCATAATCTTTTTTAAGAAGTCGATAATCGGCAGGTCACAATTTAACAACAACTGCAACTTAATGTCTCATTTCAAGAAATATGAAACTGTCAACACCCACCTATACAAGATGAAAAAATGGACAATCCTAAGAAAAAAAGTTCAAAAACCAAACTAATCTAACATGTGCCAACATTTTCATTTTAGCAAGCTAGTCAAGCTTTGAAATTGATTAAGATACAACACCTGAACTCCTGGCATACTATCCCTGAAAAAATTGTTCAGTTACTAATGAAATCACCTGTTCAGCATGGACTGACGAGTCAAGATGCCAGGTTTGGTCATAAGCAGATCCCTGCAACAAATGAAATTAAAATTACGATGCATTGTAATAGAAACTATGTTCCAGCAATATCATGAGATTCTCATATTGCAAACTACTAGATGTGTCTTCTTCTTCTTTTTAGGTTTTCTTGACGTTTCAGCCATTTCATACGGTAATTGCTTCTCAAAATTACCCCTTGGTTGAACCTCTGTGTCTTTCTGGACTGCTGATCCACCATGCAAACTACTTTTCTCATCCTGAAAAAAACTAGTATCCCCACTAGATGCATCTTTCTTTGAGGGAACTGGTAAACTCCCAGCAGTTGAACCACCAAAAGGGCTCACAATCATCTGCCTTGAAGTAGTGCGCACGCGCCTTGTTGGAACTGACCCAACATTTATATTACTGCCAGGCCTTTTCAATATCAAATTCGATGAGTTAGACCCGTAGTTGACGTCGAATGTGACTTCATCAATTTCTTCCTTTTTGTGTTTCTTAGACTAAATGATTTCCTACATTCGAATGCTCTAGGAAGATAATATGTACTTGTTTCTCCTTCATCCTCATCGAACACAGTGACATCGTCTTATCCTATATCCACAATGGAGATACAAGATTCAGCAAATACTTCACCAGCACGTGAAGCTTAAACACCAACGAACTATGCATACCTTTAGCGGCATCATAGGCTGATGTATCAAACTCCTCCTAGATGCTAATTACAAACTTCTGAAGAGAAACAATGTTAAGTATCTTTGTAGAACAGATATTTATTTCAAGAAAATATATATAATCATGGTTACATTATGAGAGCTCCTAGCACAGGAAAATCAAACATACCTCACAGCGTGTGAGATGGGTTTCAATGGGCATTTGGTACATCTTCATTGCACCAGATGGAACTGAATAGAATATACTTTCCTGTACAGTGTAGAATCTCAATCAGCTATATTATAGAGCTATCCACATTCAAAAAATTAAACGGAGGCTACATAAAAGTTTACAAAAATGCATACTTTTGTTAGCTGATCAACCGGAGATGCATCCCATACTTTTGGGTCGCACATATAGTCGAGTGTTGATGGTGCAGCTGAATGATAGGAGGTAGAAGAGTTGTTACACTTTAAAAATCTACTTGCATAATCCTTAACACCCGCAGCTAAACATTTTCTGCTATTCTCAAAATTAGATTCTTGGCAGGTCTCCTACATAACTAGTTGTGCCTTCTCCCCAGAAAGGCCAGTCTCTACATAACGCAAATCTGCAGAGATTTTTCTAGAAGCAATGTCTGCTTCATCTTTCAACAGACTAAATTTGGTTGCAGCACTCTCTCGTAAAACAGGTCCATCATCCACCGTAGCTACACTATTTGAAACTATAGTACCATTTGAATTTGCAAATATTGGACAAGAGACAGAGGTGGTTTGCATCTCCTTTTGATTAGCTGCTTGAGGAATGCAACCCTTTCCGTCCACTGATCTTATGTGAATAGATATAAAAGTTGCAAGACCACCACGATTCTGAACTAAATCCGTAGAACTTGACCGTGCTGAATCCCGATTTACATTTGTTCTGTTTCTACGAGCATACATACGAAAGATGGCAGAATCCTCAGTTTCTTTGGTGTTTGCTTTGGATGGCTGTTCTGAGTCGGACATTCTATTTTGCTTATTAGCATATCTCAAATTGTTTTCTCCTTCAAGTGACTTGTTTCCAGAATCAAACAGTAACAGATTAACCGCTGTATTGGGTTCGGAAAGTGCAGGTCTATCACTACTCTCCACGGAGTCTCCATGTGGGGAGACGGTCAGAGTAAAACTATCCTTTACTTCACTGTGGGGAATGATGAGTTAATATATGAAATTAATGGGAAAGTCTAAAACAAACACAAATGTACCTGTTTACAAAATTCTAATCTGGGAGTGATGTAGATTGGACGCTATGTGAAGTTGAAGTACCAAACTTGAAATCCAAGGGATTACCTCCCTGAAGCAGACATAAGAGTTAATGTCTTGTCATAAAAAAAGAAAGAGAATAGGGAAATAGCAAATAGGTATATACTTTCTCAAGAAACTCCAATTCTCTTCGTCTTTCTTCACGGACATCATACTCTTGCATTAGCTCCGCTTGAGCCTTCTCAATAGCTGTTCGGTGTGGAGATGTTTTGAGACTAATACCATCTCTACTGTCAATAACACCTCCCATGGAATCAACCACAGCATTTACTAGAAGATGTCCTGAAACATGTCCATAGGATCACACAACACTAACAACAATTACAAAAGAAGTAATAGTTTAAAATTTTGAAATGATCAGCTAAGCTATTTTAATGACGTGTCCACAAACTCTGTTGCAAACTAAATGAGCAAGAAGAAACTTCAGCAACAGAAGAAGCTAGAGTTATCTTAATCTGAGGTTAGGGCACAAACTTGAGCAATCAACAATGTGAAATGATATTCTCTCTCTTGGGGTTTGCCCCAAAGATTGAACAAACAAACCCCTAATAAATTTGAAGATATACGCAGGGAGAAAATAAGAAGGCTCCCCATTACACTACATGAATTTCTTCATTCCAAGATCCTTATTGAGCAATTTCTATTTTTCAATTTTGGGTTTCCCTCTCTGGAATTTCTTTTATTTTTTTCAGTGTGATGTTTTATTTTTTCGGTCTCTCTCCTCGACGCAATGGGATTCTCTTTCTCTCTCCTCAGCTACGAGTTATGGGCCTGGGTTATTTTTGGCCCAGCAGAGATAATAAACCCCCTTCCAGACCTCTTCCAGACCTCTTACTGTTGTAACAGTTTTATGGAAATTTTGTTAATTCATCTCCAACCTAATTTATTTCCTAACTATTTTTGAATTTCATACCCTTTACTAAAAAAAATTAAAAAGACGTCCTATTCGATACTTTGGACTTAACACTGTTGATGGGGATGTTTCAGCTGCTCAGTTGTCGGGGGAGTTAACACAATTTACAAAACGGAGAAAGGGAAATTGGTGAGCCCGTAACCGAAATTGAGAAGCTTTTTCCTCCATTTATCAAGAGTCATAAGAAGTTCAGTGTCAAGGTTAGTAATATGATGATCACATCAAAACCAACATATGCAAAGCACCCTTGACTTCTCCATAATTTAATTAAGTATTGTAGATTTTTATTGATTTCGATTAAGCATTGTACATTTTTATTGATTTCGATTATGTATTGTAGATTATTATTGACCTCTTCATATGTTATGATTAGTTCATTTAAATTTGGATACCGTTTGGAAATGAGTACTGTATAGTCGAAAAGTTATGGATAGGAAATAGGAATGAATTACACGTGCTCTCATTACACAACACAAGTGAATCTGATGGAAGATCGATGATTAATGATTTGTCCAAATGGTGACAATAACTGGTGAGTCGTCTTTTACAACAACAAAAAAAAAAAAAAAACTGGTGAGTCGCCCATGTGGAGGTTGGAAAAAGTAGTAACACATTCAGCAAAATACATGTATTAAAATATTGATGGTAGATATTTATATATTGATAAAAAAATGTATTAAAATAAAAAAATGTATTTATATATAGATGGTAGATAAGAATCGATGTCGAGAAACAAGAATAGTAATACGAATCTTGCGCAAATAAGGTAATTTCTCCCACCTAACTAATTTCATTATATTCTATTCTGCCGCATTCGTACTTTCTTCAAAAAGATACAGTATAAACTTCAAAGAGATTGCAACTTAAAAAAAACACCTTTATGAAACATTATACGTCGTCTTCTGAACTGAAGATACGACGCGAAAAAGATTGAATAAGAAGGTTTTAGGGGTGTTTCAAAGAAAAAAAAGAAGTTTTTATTGAAACAAGTACTCAGTTCCTATAATCTTGCACTAATAAGGTAACTTTTCTCACTTAATTAATTTCGTTATACTTTCTTCAAAAAGATATATAAACATTTAAAATTGCAACTTAAAAGAAACCATTATAAAACGACAAAAATTGAATAATAAGGTTTTGGGTTTTAGAAAAATAACCTATTCTTGTTGCGCAAGTGAAAAAAATCAGACAATGATTCTGTTCTTTTTTTTTTTTTCTCCATGTCGTGTAATTTCCCTGGCGGGTAGGTTTTGGGAAGATAAGAGAGGCTAAGAAGAGATGGAGCTTTTCTATTTTCTGGTTATCATTTGTTTGAGTTTCGCTTTCTCCGGGAGATGCAGTAATGATTATAGCAGGAACGATTTCCCGGAAGGATTCGTCTTCGGATCCGCAATTTCCGCTTTTCAGGTTTGCAGTTTCAAATGTCATTCCCTTTTCTTTTAACTTCTGTGATCGACAAAATGGTTTTGATGATGAGTGCTCTCAAAGTGGGAAGGGGCTGTTGATGAAGACGGACGGATGCCTAGTGTATTGGATACAGTCACTCACTCTAGTAAGCTCTTCACTAAGCAACTGAGAGTTAAGTTGAACAAGTAATGTAGTATATAAGAATTACACTAATCACTCTATAACGTAAAACAACTTTTACTTTTCTGAGCAACTAGTTTTATATTATAGAGTGATTAGTGTAATTCTTATTAAGGTAAACTATAGTTTAAAAACTATTTTAATTACCATTTCGGGGTCACAGGAAATATATATTAGCTCTTAAAATTTGAGGAAAATTTTCAATTCTACTACAAAAGATAACCATTTTTATAAATAACTTAATTTGTGATGAAAAACATTAAATTAACTTCGCTAAAACATTTATATGAAGTTTAAGAATAAAATTTAAAACCATATACATAGAAATTTGACGGGGGGGGGGGGTTTTTTTTTTTTTATAATTTGAGTGATTTAGTATTGCCCAAATGTTAAAGATATTTTTGATTGACTATATTTTTGAAAAGTGATAACCAAATAATTCAATCAATTTCTCAAATTTGAGGGCCAAATCAAATGTTTTATTAAGCTTTGTCCAAGGCGTGTCTTGGGTTTAACGGCAGTCAGTCTCACCAGGTAATGGATCTAGCGGAGTTATAGCTTGTGATGGGTATCATAAGTATAAAGAGGACGTAAAGCTGATGTATGACATGGGTTTAGATGCATTCCGATTCTCTATCTCGTGGTCCCGGCTTATACCAAGTGCGTGTGTTTCTTTGCTTCAACTCGATTTATTTTATTTTTTTTTATTTTTTCAACTTGATTTTTTACCTTGCTCGAGCGGTAAAACGCTTTTTTTTTGTTCGGTTCCCCTTTCACGTTTCAGGTGGAAGAGGTCCTGTGAATCCAAAGGGTTTACGTTTCTACAAAAATCTCATACGAGAGCTCAAAAGACATGGTAATTAGACAAATGTCAAGATTTGGCTTGATTATGTCATGTGTCTTGGTAAGAACATGAGTTGAGTTTTGTTGTTATGGTTGGCATGAACGAGAGTGCAGGAATTGAACCGCATGTTACATTGTTACACGATGATCTCCCTCAGGCTCTTGAAGATGAATACGGAGGATGGATTGACCGCAAAATCATGTAAATCCAACCTTTTCTTGAAACATACTAAATCTCTAATTAAATAATAATAATAATAATAGTAATAATAATAAATCTCTAATTAAAGAGTAAGATATCAATCATCTTTTGTTACAGCGATGACTTCACCGCTTATGCGGACGTTTGCTTCAGAGAGTTTGGGAACACAGTGAAATTCTGGTCAACCATTAATGAACCCAATATGTTAGCAATGGTAAGCTATGGTGTGGGATTAGTCCCTCATATTCATTGTTCTCCTCCAAATGGGATGGTCAACTGCACCAAAGGAAACACTTCAACTGAGCCATATATTGTACTCCATAACATGTTGCTTGCACATGCATCTACCGCGAGATTGTATAAGCAAAAGTATAAGGCAAGCAAGCGCATACACACATGCATATATCTCTGGTCTATTGAACATTGCTCGATTTAATTAACTCTCTTTGTGTGATCGATGGTGTAGAATAAGCAGAATGGATCTATAGGTATAACCTGTTTCGCATTCTGGATGATTCCTTTTACTAGCTCTGAAGAGGACGCGATTGCAACTCAGAGAGCCAAAGATTTCTTATTAGGCTGGTTTGTAGAACTCAATCATCTTTGCGTTTATTATAAAATTCTTCTTTTTTTGAGAAAATTTATTATAAAAGTATTCTTTGGCTGCTTTGGTGAAAGTGGTAAAACATTTTCATTATTTCTAGGGTTTTGCATCCGTTGGTGTTTGGGGACTATCCTAATGTGATGAGGAGAATCGTGGGGAAAAGACTGCCATGTTTTTCGGAAGAAGAATCAGATCTCGTTAAAGACTCATCCGACTTCTTGGGAGTCATACACTACAGAACAACGTACACGGCAGACTTATCCAGCCCCAGCCAAGGAGATTTTCTTTCGGATATGGCTGCATCAATAATCCGTATGGGTTTCTTTCATGAGATCGTGTGTGTGTATACGTGTAGTTTTTTTTAGTCTACCATATACCTCACTCCATAGGCCGCCATAGCTGATTCTTTATTTCATTTTCTTGGACAGCCATTGGGAATTCTACACTGGTCAATGTATGTTTCCAAATACTCTGAGATGTTTTCGTACACCTAACACTCTTTTGGTCTTGATTTCTTGTCATATATCCACAGATTGATGTGCATCCATGGGGTCTTGAAGGAGTGTTGGAATACATAAAGCAAAACTATGGCAATCCTCCTGTCTACATTCTCGAAAACGGTATACAGTATCTCTCTTCGGGGCTGTTCGTTTGGTTAACTAGACGCAGCATCCAGAAACAGTTATGACCTGTTGTTGGTTTTTATGAAATTAAGAAACGTGTCTAGATGCAAAGACCATATACAAAATAAACCTCATCCAATTCCAAAACATCCAGATTCTTTGGATGAGTTTGAAAGGAGAGCTAACGCATCTAGAAATACAAAAGTCAAAAATACACTTATTTATAGTTTTACAAATTTAGATTATTTGGTTTTATATCAATTTACTATCTATGCAAAAATAATTTTAACAAAAGTTGTGTGTTTTCCAATTTTTTTAAAAGATGTATTTTCGCCAAAATTGCAAAAACTCTATTCTAGCAAAACTCCAAAATCATGTTTTCTTCCTAAAACAACAAAACGTGTTTTTTTGATAAAACCACAAAATTTTATTTTTTCGTCAAAACCATAAAATCGCTAAAACTGTCAAAATTGCATTTCCACGCCAAAAACGTAAAATCATAGTTTCTCAACAAAATGGCGCAAAACTCCTTTACCACCAAAATTTATTTTTCTTATCAAAACTGTAAAATCATGTTTTATTGTCAACCGATAAATTCACTTTCTCACTAAAACCACAAATTACTTTTTCTCATCCAAACCGCAAACACTGTTTTCGTGCCAAAATCACAAAATCTAGTTTTCTTTTAAAACAACATAATTGATTTTTTGCCAAAACCGTAAGATCTCTTTATATTTTGAGATATTTTCTTAAATTTTATTTTGTAATTATTTAGTTAAAATAGAGAGAGAGATTAACTAAAATTCATATAACATGGGGTGTTATTCATTTTACAGTAAATACGAATAGATAACTACACAATACACCAAATAAACACAATATCATCCAATACAAGTTCTAGATACATTAACCAAATCACAAATGAGCATACTGCGTCTAGATGTTGATCAAGTTATTTGGTCTGGTTCACCAGACGAATAACATCTTACTTGTTCTTTAATTTATCTAAGTTTCGAAACATTACTAATCTTGAGGGTTTCTGTGTATCTACACTATCAGGTCGTCCTACCAACCACCACTCATCGCTTAATGATGTGGGAAGAGTTGAATACCTTCATGCTTACATCGCTGCTGTGCTTAATTCAGTGAGGTGTGTAAAATGCTCCTCGAAAGACATGACATGTAAAATAGTACTTAAATACTAAGCGTCACAAGGTTTTATTTATGCAGGAAAGGGTCAGAGACAAGAGGCTACTTCCAGTGGTCATTCATGGATTTGTTTGAGTTTATCGATCCCAATTATACATATGGGTTATACTATGTGAATTTCAGCGATCCAGAACGTAAGAGATCTCCTAAAACCTCTGCTTTTTGGTATTCTTGTTTTCTCAATGGCACCACCATTTGTCCACAAGAGCTCAAGAACATCTCCATATCTTCTTCTCCTGGTTTTTCATCTTCTTAACTATTCGCATTCTCCCTTCTATTTGTGTTCTTAAACATTTGTGTTTCTTAATATACATGCATACCCTGGATCTACTCTATACATTTGTAATAAGCCAATCAACATGTGGTCGCCTTTTAGACATAAAATCAATATAATTATAGACTAAAATCATATATTGTAGAAACTCTATGAATTAATACTCAGTATATAATAAATATCATAAAATAATAAATTTTCTCAGATCCTAAATTATACTATGTATATAGTCATATCTATACTATTAAAAGAGAAGAAGTCTAAATAAATCTACTTTAAAAAGTTGTTTGGACCCTTTTATTAGTCATATCTATACTATTAAAAGAGAAGAAGTCTATATACTTTACCATTTAAATAAACTCATTTATTACTTTCCATAATCTATTATAAAATTTATCTAACAATAAATATTCATGATATTATAACTATGACACTTTAGTTTAATTAATTATATGCAATCAATTATTAAATTTTGATATTACATTCTTATACAATAACTAAATGATTAATTTTATGATGTATCAAAATTAAAGGGGTCTAAACATTTTAAGTTGGAGATTCAAACGAAATTGGTCAAAAAATTGATTTAAATAAGATATGTTTATTTATTTTACATGATATATTTTTATTTAATTTTAAATATAAACTAGCCTATGATTTAAATATAAGATAGGTTGAATATTTTTAATAAAAGAATTCAGGTAATTCGTTGATTTGTCTAATTTGGTTTAAAATAGTATTTTAGGTTAATTAGTATTTGGATATTATATATAATTAATATTTGTAGGTATATAATTTATATATAAAAAATTTAAGTACCCATTTGGTTCTCAGTTCGATTTCTATTTTTAGATTCTAGAGATATATGATATGATCGATTATTTATGAAATTTGGCTTCATTTAACTCTGTTTATTGTTTTTTTAAAAATTTTAAAAAATTGAGTACCCATTTGTGCATAATCGAAAAATAGAAACCACACTTCTGAATGGGTTAATAAAAATCTTTTTATTTTAAGATGTTTTTACCATATTTGTTTTATTAATATTTACAAGACTGAAATAAAATAATAGAACAAATTTTAAATATTATAGATATCTAATAATAGACATAAATTCATTATATATTTGACTTTACGGTCACTAAAAATATAAGAAGCACGGGTCAGAATCTAAATTACTTCATTTACAAGTTAATTTATTACGGCCAACTATTTAATTTACCTTAATTATATCAACCAAAAAGATCTAAACTGCACCTACTTATATTGTCTACCATGATTATGGGAAACCTAAATTGATTACAAACTATTCTTTCATATCTTCTCTTAACCTAAATTGACAACAATCTTCTCCTTTTATAAATACAAGCTATCTCGGACCTCTTTTACCATCAATTAAATCAAATTCAAAAATACCATCAAAACTCATCAAAGTATCAATTCCGAAATATTTGGCTTCACGGTTAACAAAAAAGAAGCGCGGGTCAAAATCTAGTTATTATGAATTAATAATAGTACATAACTTTTTAGAAAATATTATGGAAATATATAGTTCTATTATAAATTAATAATTTATATGTATATTTTTTATATAAGTAGAAACCAACCATTAAGTTTTTGTTATTTTACAGTCATAATGGATATTTTATATTTCTTAACACTTAATATATTTTTATGATATTTAGTAAAATTATATTTAAAAGCACATTTAAATTATATGAGACATATTTTATATAACAAATAATATGATAAAATTAATATGAATGTCATATTTCAAAAAGTTAATAAATGTATATACACTAAAATCGAATATTTTTATTTTATCTTAAAAACAAATATCTTAAAATATAAAAATCTAAAAAAATAAAAGAAAACTTTTTATAAGTTAATAATTCTATAAATTAATGCAATATCAAAGTTCCAATATTATTAATTTATAGAGGTTTTTTTGTATATCATTGTCGTTTTACCGAGTATATCTGTATAGTTCTAATGTGTATGTATTTCAACAAATGTTATTTCTAGTGTTTTAGTGAAGGTGTTTCTTTAGTATTCTGCCTGAGTTTGTTTTGGTTAGAGTCTTCTTTTTTTTTAAAAAAAAAAAAAAATAGTCTTGCTACTATTTGGAGTGATTTGTTGAGGTGTATATTTAAAATAAGTGATATAAAAAAATTGTTGTATTTCTGTTGTACCTACAAAAATTAATTGGAAAAAATAAAATAACTGAATATATTTCTACAATCTTATATTTTTCCCATAGCACAAAAAATACTTATTTACTAAATAAGTGTTGTATAGCCTTTTTGATGTAGCTTTAGAAATTGAATTAAATCATAATTGATAATTTTAAGAATTGAAAATAAAAGTTTAAACTAAATAACCCAGCCAAAAATTATATGGGTTTTATAGTATCTATGTATTCTTCTGTTAAAGAAAATTTGACAATAATATTTCATCATGTTTACCAATAGAAAAGAAAATATTAAACTAAAAGATAACATTTTGATATTGTTGAGTATCTTAAAATTTAAGAACCTTTTAATGAAGATGTTTTTCCAGTTTTTTAGTTTGTAATTTTTCCTATGTGTACTTAATTTATAACTATTTTCAAATTGTTGCCAAAAAAAAAACTATCTTCAAATTACGTGTTTCTCATTTTTTACTAACAACTAAGCCATTTTATTAAATTTGTCTGTTATTAAATAATTTTCTAAATTCAGTTTAATGATATATTTTCATAACAACAGCTTAATAAAATAGATTAGAAATACTATATATTAAAGCACAGATGTATTAAGATGACGATGTAACATGATTTTTTTTTGACTAAACACATAAAAATCATTTATGATGTTAATAATAATAATCTATTTTTTTTTGACCAAATACAAAAATATATCAAACATGTGTTTGTTATTGTATGACCAAACATATACAAATACCAATATAAAGATCAATGACAACAAAATCCTATTTTTGATTTTTTTTTAAGTTAATTAAATTGTTTTGATATCATGTTTATCATCAAAATCTTTATGTTTTAAATTATTATTAAATAATTTATTTTTTTTGTTTTTTTATGATTTTCAAAAAGAATAATTATATTTTATAAACTCTTTATTTATAACTGAAAAACCAAAAATACTATAATTTTTTTTTTACATTTTTGTTTACGATTTAAAAAGTAAAGATTATTATCATACAATAATTTACAATTATCTGAAAAAATCTGGATAGTATGATTTTTATTAGAACCTTACATGTGAGTTTTATATTGAAGAAAAAATTGGAAAATTCATAGTGTGAACGCATTTATGTAAAGTTTGGCTAAGAAGCTTTCTACACGTGACACGTAGCATTTTCATTCTCAGATCGATGTGAGAATGAAAATTTTCACACATGTCCCTTAAAGTGTTAATACATTTATTGTAATGCTTCTCTTTTAATATATATAAGATATATTCTTTCTACATGTTCTTTTAAAAAGTTTTGAACAAAAAATTTTTGCAAAATAATATATTTGATACTAATTTTCCTTTTCCAAAATCATGAAAAAGTAATTAAAAACTCTTTTATAGTAATTGTCCGTCTCTCAAATATTGAACCTAAGAAAATTATGAAAGAATTTTTAATAGTCGTTTTCCATTTCTCAAATCCTAAACAAAAAATATTTATAAAATAATTATTTCAAATCTTATTTATGTTCTTTTCTTCTTAAACTGATGATGATTTTTAATATAAATACTAAGATAATAAAACCAAAATTTGAAGATATTAATTTTAAATATTGTTTAAAAGTAAAACAAAAGAAGTTAAAAGTGTTTATTGTAATTTCCTTTTCACAAATCCTAAAAAAAAATTAAAATAATAAAAAGGAATTTTTAACATATTAATTTTAAATTATTTTTTAAAGTAAAGAAAAATAAAAAAGTGTTTTGAGAAGTTTCTTGGGCTTCCAACTTAAAACCAATTGGCAATTAGTGGATTGGCCCAAGTCCCTTATATATATTACTCATGTCCCATTCATATTTCCAATGTGGGATCTTTATCCCAATACCCTCTCTCGAGATAATGGTGGGTCTAACTATTAATCTCGCAAAATCCATCATACCCCTCCGAGATAATGCTATTTTTCTAGCTATCTCGAAGAAATTGGGCTTTCCTTGGGCTATTCGAAAATACTGATTTTTTTTTTAATTAAAAGAAAAAAGAAGCTAAAAGTTTTAATTGTAGTTTTACTTTTTATAAATCCTAAACACAAAGATTTAAAATAAAATAAAAACTAATTTTGAAAATAATAAATTTAAATATTTTTTAAAGGTAAAAATAAAAAAAAGAGTGTTTAATTGTATTTTTCCCCTTTTTACAAATCCAAAACAACAAACTATTCGTAAAATAGATTATTATCAATTTTCCTTTTCTAAAATATTTAAAAAGTATTATTTGACAGTAATCTTCCTATTAGAATTCTATATATGTAAAAATATATCATATTAACAAAATATATATACGCAGAAAATGAAAATGATTTTACAGAGAATAATAATGTTTAAAAAATTTTAATAGCAATTTTACTAAACTATTTTCTTTTACAAAATTGCAAAAAAATAAAGATTTACAAAATAATTTATTTAATACTAATTTTTCTTTTCCGAAATTCGGAATAAATGGTATTTGAAAAAAAAATATTTTACTGTAATTGACCGTTTCTAAAATCTTGAACATAAGAGAATTATTAAATAATTTTTAATAGTTCTTTAAATCCTAAACAAAAAGTATTTGTAGAATAATCATTTCAAAGATTTTTATGTTCATATCTTCTTAAGCTGATAATGCTTTTTATTTTTAATATCTAAAGATAATAAATGAATTTTGAATCGTAGTTTTTCTTTATACAAATCCGTAAAAAATATTTTAAAATAATGAAAACGAATTTTAAAAACATTAATTTTAAATGTTGTTTAAATTTTTTTAAAAATATATAAAGGGTGTTTAATTATAGATTTACTTTCTACAAAACCTAAGAAAAAATATTTGTAAAATAATTTATTTATTACCAATTTGTCGTTTCTAAAATCCTAAGGAAAATATTATTTGATAGATATTATTTGTCGTTTCCTTTGAAATTTTTTATACATATTAAAATAAATCATGATTAACACAATTAATTAACAAAATAATAAAAATAGATTACTATTATTATTATTATTATCAACGTAAATTTTTTTTATGTGTTTAGTCAAAAAGAAATCATATTTCATCGTCATCTTATTACATATGTGTTTTAATAAATAGTATTTGTAATCGATTTTATTAAATTGTTGTTATGAAAATATATCATTAAAATGAATTTAGAAAATTATTTAATAACAGACTAGTTTAATAAAATGGCCTAATTTTTAGTAGAAAATAAGAAACAAGTGATTTGAAAATAATTATAAATTAAGTATACATAGGAAAAATTACAAATTCAAAAACTGAAAAAAACTAAAGAAACTGTTTGAATACTATAACTTGAATACTAGGGCTGGGACTTATTATCCGGGATTCGGATTCGATCTGAGATCCGCTCCGAAAATAGAATATCTGGGGTGCCCGGATCCGAATCCGGATAGTAAAATCTCAGATCGATCCAAACCGGATCCGAATCCGGATATCTTAATTTTTAGGTCCGGATCCGTGTTTTTAAATTATAAGAAATTTTAAATTTTATTATTAATTATATTAATATATTAATATTTATACATATAATTAATCTTCTAATATTATATTTTACTTTTAATAATATTATATGTCATATATATATTCATAAATTTGGTATAAATATTTAGTCTGTCTATTATTTTTAAATTTTATGTATTTTTAAATAATTTTTATTAATAATTAATTATTTTTACGCATCCGGATATCCGCGAATATTACAACTTCTAGACGGATATCCGAGACCCGAATACCCGACCGGCCTGAATCCGAATGCGGATACTAAAATCACGGGTCCGACGAATCCGGATCTGGATACTCCAAAATTTCCGGATATCCAGATCCGTCCCAGCCCTATTGAATACCATTTTTAATATTACATAAGAAACCCCATAACATCTGAATTTATGATTTAGTATGTAGAGTTTAATATTTAAGGGATGAAACTAAATTTATAAAATTGTATAAAAATTCCAAATGATATATGATATTTACCTCAAAGAAAGAGAAAGAGAGAGGTCGAGATGCGTCGAAATCGAGAGAGAGAGAGAGGAGATAGGTTTGCATCGGAGATGGAGAGAGAGCTTGAGATGGGTTTATGTAGGAGAAGAGATCGAGAGAGTCGAGTTGCGGTCAATGGAGGAGAAGAGAAGCAGCTGCTTCTATCAAACTAGAACAAACGTCACACATCTTTTTATATTTTAAAGAATAATTACTAGTTTGCTTAATATAATTATAAATTATATTTTTGATAACAAGATAAACTTGAAATATTCTTAAAAATGAATAGAGCTATTGTATGAAAACCCAATTTTTTTTAATACACTTTCTCATCTTATTTTTCAAAGAAAATGGAAGTACTACGTCATGAGAATCCATAAACTCTGTGTTACATAAGAAAAACTCTTCAACCTCTAGTTATATAATATTCACAACTAGGGTTGGCCCGTCCTACGGACGGGATATAATTTATTTGTAATCTAAGTTATTGTTTGTAGGATTTTGTAGTTTGTGTTTCAGATTTGCATCACAAAATATATATGAGAATATTTTTCTCTTAGAAAATTTTAGCTGATGAAGAATTATATGTGATAAAATATATTTTGTTTGTGAATTTTAGGAATTCTTTTATTNTTCTATAATATAAGTAGATGGTTATGGAGTATCTGAAACACAGAAAAACAAATGATGTAGATCTTCATAAAGAAACACGAACTCAAATGTCTAGGTGGGATAGAAATATCCAAAAGACCACGTTTTTATATTTTTCAGTTTTTGAGATTTATTTTAGCTACAGAGTGAAATATGAACAATAATACAATGGGTTTGGTATCTGAAATTACTGCTTACAACTAAAAAGAGTTTCCAAGTAGAAAATCATGAACACACACTACTTTTATGCTAATCTATCTCTTCACCTACAACACATTCTTGGGAATCATCAATACACACTACTGCTACGCTTCTCTATCTCTTCACCTGCAACACATTCTTCTTCATTTTCACTGTGAAGAAAAATATTTTCAACATCATGTGTTGTGTGATATAAGGATAGTGTTTTAACCATTCTTTAGTAGAAGGAATGTTCATTATTTTTTTTATGTTTTAGACCATCATCTACTATTATATATGCTTTTGTGTGTTATTTGTAAGACTGTTGTGCATTGGAACTTTTGTTCGGATTTTTTAATTATTTTACTTTAATTTAAAATTGCAAAAGATAATGTTTTGCCCCTATTTTTTTTTCTTAAGAGTGTGTCGGTGTTTTATTTATAGTAATTTTTATGATATTTTATTATTTTATTTATTAGATTATGTTATTTTGTTGTTTGGGTATTTATGTTTGTTGTTTCACGGTTCTGGAACTTATTTGTTCAAGTACAAAATTTGGTCCAATTTAACTTCTGTTATTTTAAAAAAAAAATAGTTTGAGTAACAAAGTTATGAACCTACTAATATGATTTAAAAAAAACAATTGGATCCAATTTGATCCAGTTCTGATTTTTGAGTAACTTTGTATAATTTGACTAAAAAGGTAGATAATTCGAATTTTTGGATTAAATATTTGGTAATTTATGTTGTTCGGATAAAAAAAACCAAGTTTAAAAAAATCAAATAATGGTTTATAATAATGTTTTAAGGATACTTTGTTATCTAAGACTAAATACTATATATGTAATATTTTTAAGTTAGAAGTTATATTTTATATATTCTGGTATCTATTTGTTTTCGTAGATTCAATTTGTTTGGTTCTGAATATATATGAACTTTTTGGCTATTTGAATCTTTTGGGTTTGGTCTGATTTAAGGTCAACGATTATTTTTTTAAGCTCACACCATACCAAATGTATTTTAGCTATCACTATAGACATGGACCCCACTTAGGTGTGTGGCGGAAAGTGAGGCCTTCCAAGACACAATAATATTAGAAGTTTACTTAGTTTGATTGATATATATGCCAAACCATATTCATATACCGTAGTTTCTTATAATTTACATAAAATTATACTACTATATTTAACTACTCGGTTTACTTGGTTTGATCGGTATATANGGTTTGGTATATATATCGATCAAACCAATTAAACTGAGTAGTTAAAAGTAGTATTATAATTATATATAAATTATACAATATAAAAATAATTTGCTATATGATATGATCTTCAAAGTTAAATATTTATGTTATTAAATTAATATTTTGTGTGATTAAAGTTATTTTTCATCTTTTATCAAATTAAACAGAACATAGTTTACTTTTTCGTTAATAAATACTTGGGCTAATATCTACACTTTTTTTTGCTACAATAAATATGCTGTATAAATATAATTTGCTATATGATATGATCTTCAAAGTTAAATATTTATGTTATTAAATTAATATTTTGTGTGATTAAAGTTATTTTTCATCTTTTATCAAATTAAACAGAACATAGTTTACTTTTTCGTTAATAAATACTTGGGCTAATATCTACACCTTTTTTTGCTACAATAAATATGTTGTATAACACTACTGTATAAAAAAATCAAATAATGGTTTATAATAATGTTTTAAGGATACTTTGTTATCTAAGACTAAATACTATATATGTAATATTTTTAAGTTAGAAGTTATATTTTATATATTCTGGTATCTATTTGTTTTCGTAGATTCAATTTGTTTGGTTCTGAATATATATGAACTTTTTGGCTATTTGAATCTTTTGGGTTTGGTCTGATTTAAGGTCAACGATTATTTTTTTAAGCTCACACCATACCAAATGTATTTCAGCTATCACTATAGACATGGACCCCACTTAGGTGTGTGGCGGAAAGTGAGGCCTTCCAAGACACAATAATATTAGAAGTTTACTTAGTTTGATTGATATATATGCCAAACCATATTCATATACCGTAGTTTCTTATAATTTACATAAAATTATACTACTATATTTANATATAATTTGCTATATGATATGATCTTCAAAGTTAAATATTTATGTTATTAAATTAATATTTTGTGTGATTAAAGTTATTTTTCATCTTTTATCAAATTAAACAGAACATAGTTTACTTTTTCGTTAATAAATACTTGGGCTAATATCTACACTTTTTTTTGCTACAATAAATATGTTGTATAACACTACTGTATTTAACGACCATAAAGCTTTATCATCCAAGTAACTCTCATATTTTCTAATAAAGAAAGTATACGTATAATATCCCGAGTTTGTAGCTATCAAGATTGACTATGATTTTTTATTAGCGAGTTTACATGCGTTTTAATTTGTAGACGACGTTTTCCAGTCAGAATAAATATATACACATATATTTTCTGAAAACTAATAATTATTATGTTCGCATAACATGTGTCCTCCTTCATCGATCCATTATACTTATTTGTTATTTTCGTCCCTACGAAAGGCATTCAGCATTATACAATATATCGTTATAGTCTTCTATATAAAATTGGTTGATTTTAAGACGACAGCGTATGAGAAGCCACTGGGTATCAACGGACTGTGTGATCTATAGTAATTTAAGGCCCATAGATTTGATGAAAGCCCAATCGATAAAGACGAAGCTTTGATTAAACGCTGAGTTTGAAAGAGGAAGGACAGGTGTCAATCAGTGAGAAAGTGATTTAGTGACATGGCACTCCCATGAGAGAATGAACTATACTTTATATATATAGATGTCAAGTTCACAAAAAAATAAACTTGGAAAACAAGAATCAATACTCAATTCCTCACAATCTTCTTCTTCTTCCTCCTCTTGTGATGATACTCTCGCACTTCTATAAACAGTATAGTGTGTCCACTTCCGGTCATACCAAAATGTTCCACCACTATCACAAGCCTATACATGCCAATATGGTTTCTTGATATGTCCCTATATTCATAAAACTCGGATTAGAATACATGTTCAACGAAGCACGTTGCACTTAAATGCATAAAAGCTGTAAACAATTAAACAAGTCTGGAGTTCTTAATATGAAGAAACAAAGCAGATTCAAAGTACATATGCCAAGGAGAAAAGATGTACAAACTCCTCACACTCCACTCCACACCACTATGGGAATAAACCAATGAAACACAACTTTACTAGCATATAAAGACGAGCCAGAGCATCAGACTCAACTTTACAAAAGAAAGACAAATCAAAGTCGAACAAAACCAGATCAACAAAAACGAAAAAGGATAAACCTTTATAGAACCCACACTCTTGAGAGTCTGAGACCACAAAAGCACACACATACAAACTGATCGAACATGATAGCACACGATTGATAAGCAGAGCAGATTCTAGTATCATGTCTAGATTCTAACAATTTATCGCAGTTCATGGTGAAGATAAGATCAACATCAAATGAACGTAAGGTACTTTTAATCCTTTTCCCCAGAGTGCTGAAAAACACAAAGCAATCACACAACACATTCAATTAACCAGATACACGAGTAGTAATGATACATACAAAACACCCAGAGTATAAGCTTGTGAGAGTTTACAACAGAGACTATCACTATCACGAGACCAAACAGAGACAGTTACCTCAAAGAAAGAGAAAGAGAAAGAGAAAGAGAGAGCTCGGAGATGGGAGATAGCTGGAGAAGAGATCGAGAGAGATGGAGTTGCGTCAATGGAGGAGAAGAGAAGCGGCTGCGTCTATCAAACTAGAACAAACGTCACACATCTTTTTTTTTAGTGGTTAACAAACAAGTTAGAAAGAACCTAAGAGAGTATTAAGAGACTGAAGAAGCTGAGCTTGAGAACTCTGAATCAATCTGATCCGTTTGATCTCCATCTCCTTACGCAGCTTCACACTCTCTCTAGCAAACTCCATCTTCCTCTTCTCCATCACCATCACCCTCTCAGCAAAATCCCTAATCTCACAAGCAACAGCTCTCGCTCCATCCCTCCTCCTCGTCCTCCTCTTCCTCTTCGACCTCTCCTTATGTCCCCACTGCAACAACCCTCCTCCAACTCCAGCAAATCTATTAACCGCTCCTGGTCTCCTCACTATGTAATTAATACTCCTCGACTTGCTCTCTCTCTCCTCCTCCTCTTCTTCATCTTCATCATCATCTGAAACGGGAGGTAGGCGCGTGAGGGGACGCGCCGAGATAGGAGCAGCGCTGTTGTTGTTGCTATCTAACTCCTCCATCTGAGAATAAAAAGGCCATATAGAGATCGGTCCCATGCTCTGCCTCTCAGCTCGTAACCTCTTCCGCAGCTTCTCGATCTTGTGCCGACACTGTGTCGCTGACCGGTCAACGCCGGAGCGTGCCGAGACGGCGGCGGCGATCTCCTCCCAGTGAGATGATTTGAGAGGGCCGCGTCCGAGGGCGTGCCATTTGTCCTTGTAGGAGTCGATCAAGAGGAGAGTCTCTTCTTGAGTCCATAGCACCGGTTGGGTTTTTTTGGCTACGGCGGACGCTACGAGGGTGGTGGTTTGCGCTGGTGGGAGGGGTTCAGAGGTCGAGGGCGGTGGATTTTGGTGCGGGGAAGTGGCGGCGGAGTTAGGGTTTGAGTGGGAGGAGGGAGGAGAAGATGTCGGAGAAGGCGTCGCCATGGTTTTCAAGTGTAATGGAATGGAACAAGACACTGCTTTTTGTGAGTTTTTTTTAACTCAAAAGGTCAGATAGATCATCACTTGGGCTTTTGTCTCCACGTTGACTTTTGTTATTTGGGCCTAATATAACTGAGGTTATGTCTCAGCATTTGACATTTCTTATCGGACACTGTTTTCATAAATAACTACGGCGGGGTATACTTTAGGTATAATGTTCATTACGGATTTCTCTATGATTTTGTGGTCTGTATTTTAGGTTTATATTGCAAAGATATTTATAATGGTGGTTATTTGTATTTTAAATAATTTTAGGGAGATCAGATTATATATAATATAATTTTGTTTGGTTTGTTTATGGATATCTCGAATATATTTGGTATTTTACTGCTACTGACATTAAACTATCATATGTTTATGGGGGGGAGGGTGTATTCGAAAATGTCTCTCTCTCAATTATACTTCTCTGTATTGACATCTATGTTATTAATTTTGATAGTCTATTTTTTAAAATGTCCAGATCGATATACCGTTAACAGTTTTTATATTATTATAGTGCTTGTGATGTGAAAATTTGAATAACAGTTGATGGGTTATATTATTTATTCTTGGTACGTATTGGTTATTTAATTTTTTAGTCTAGATTGAGTGACGTGGTTGATAATATGAATTGTTATATTCTTCATATAATATATTTAAAATATCTAAAATTTTGTGAAGTTAGGTTTAACTGTGATAGTGTAGTGTTGATACCTTTTAATAACATAACTATGAAGACTGATATTTTATTGTTGTTGTTTTTTTGTAATTTGAAGAAATTTTATTATTAGCGAAAGCATGGAAAATTTGAAAATAAAATCTGGTAACGGTATAAAGGTGACAAATATATTATTATAGACTTGAAACATGTAGTCTAAGATATTGTATCCCGGCATGCAGAACATCTTATGTTCATTTGGATCCAATCAACAATGCATTGATAATGATATATATGGGTACATTGTAGTTCATTTATACAGTCACACATGTTATAATCTTGTCCATGCATATAGTGCACAGTTCATCTTCTTCCATTGGTGAAGGGGCTGTCTTCTCAGACTGGAGGCTTGTTGTAGCTATGTCGACATCCATTCTGTGAACTGAATGGGGATTGAAATCGGTTAGATATAGTATGACGTGTACACTTTTGGTGATAAACATAAGTTTGGAATTTACAAATGATGATGATGATTCTGCGATTCTTACAGCCGAGTTAATGCTCATGTCATGGTATATGACGATAGATTCCATGATGCAAATGGTTATATCAGTAAGATAGCAAGAATCAGTAGTAGAAAATTTCAAGCTTAATTGATATGTCGGTTTGATTTGTATTCCAACGATTTATATTGGTAGTGAGATCTCTGTTTGGTTCCGAAACAGCTGGGTATGTTCAAAGCCAAATAAAAGAGCATAATCTTGGTCTGGTTCCATTTCTATTGGATGGAAGTGAAATAGTTTATGGTCTATTATCTTGTATTTATGTAGTCAAAGGAATGGAGTTACATGTCGGGTAGTATCATGTTTTTTGAAACATATAGCTATTATGATGTATAGTTTTTTTTATGTAAAACGTTAGTTGTATATATTCATAAGCGCATGTTGAAAGAAACATTTGTTTTTTAACATGATATATATATTATGTGTAAATATGATTAATTGGAGAAAAAAAACTAATGTGAAAGAGAGATATCTATAATATTATAATTTTCATAGTAAGTTTATTATTATTTATAATCGAGCCTAATTGTATCAAATTTAGTATAATTAGAAAGGTTTAAGTATTTTTGAGTTTTATAATCAAAATGATTGACCTAAAGTGTTTTCCATTTTGTAATTTTTATTTAAAAGACTACAAAGATTGTGGTAAAAGATTTACTCCTATTATAGTTTCTTTCATTTTTTAACAACATTATATTTTAAAATATTTGAATAAAATTTTTAATACTTATGTGAAATATAAACAAACATTAATGTAATTTTTGATAGCCAACAATTATATATAATTAAACACGTATGAAATAAAATATCTTATTTAGCATATAATAACTTGATAATATAATATATATATATAGTTTGGGTCATTATAAACTTATGAAAGGGTTTTCTTTTTTCAAGTTAGAGGCATAAAAATAGATTACATAGGCACTGACCTGTAGACTATATAGTCTCAAGTTGATGTGAATATGAGATGAGGCTAACATGTATTTAGAAAATTAAAAAAAAAATTGTTTAAAACATACGTGTTTCTACAAATGTTAAACCAAGAATGCGCTTACTTGCTGCTAAAGATACCAAAAACAAAATTATCTGAGGATAATAGTATGCCTCTGGTCGTATCTGCAACAGATATGAATGTTGCTTTTGTTTTGCAAGTCTTCTGCTCAGTCGCTGCATCTGATTACTGCCATGCCATGTTTATATTCTTATAAGTTAGTTCCAGAACACAAACAGATTTAGCATCACACATAATAAGAATAATATAAGGATGTTCTCGGGGACATTAATATGCTCACCTGGGTCAGACAGAGATCTTTGAAGATTTCCCTGTAGACAATATTTGTTACTCCGTCCTCCCTGTCTTTATCAGATGTTTCATCTAATATTTTCAAACCTTCTGGAGTTGTGACTCGAGACATGGCAACATACAACTGTCCATGTGTAAATACAGGCCGAGGAAGATATAAAGCAACTTGTTTCAGACTCTGGCCTTGACTCTTATTTATCGGCATAGCATAGCACATGCGTATTGGGTACTGGCATTGACGAAAGGTGAAACCTAACGCGAGAAAGTCCATGCCTATGTCATACCTTTCTCCATGAACCTGACTTTGACGACTTCGGAACTTGCTTGTCAGTCTATTCCAGAAGGAATTAAAGAATAGTACACATTATTTCCATTATAAAGAGCATGTATATCATTTGTGGCACCAATTCTTCTGTATATATACCAATATTTCAATATACACATCATGAGCTGATAGTCAGTATGTTACCTCTTCAAATTTCTCAAAGTTTTGGGTGTCCAACTCATCATTGACTTTAGGGATAAAGGCAGCCTTCATTTGATACAACTTTCCCCATTATGTACCTCTGAACCAAGGGTGACCCTATAAGAAAACAATTAAAGCATGTCTAAAGGTTTCTCACTATAAATATTAGAATTAGGAACTTTAAATCTCAGAGTTGAACAATGCACACAACACCTTAATTTCATAAGCTCCTTTAGTTCCAAGCCTTTGTTCAACATTGCATAAAAGCCTACAAATAAGATCCTTGGCTTCTTGTGATAGTCTAGCCTCTTCTGGGAACTTCAAGTAATTTCTCCAATTTACAATCTGTGAAGGGGAACACAACGAATCACTAAAGAAATAAAAAATATCACAATGAAATGTAACACTTGAGATCACAAAAGCAATGGATAGTTACCTTCCTACAAGTTGTCATCGATTCATCTGAATAAAATGGGGGAATCCCCACAAGCATTTCATACATAATGGCACCAAGGGACCACGTATAAGGATAACCTCAAGATTAATTATCTGCACCAAAGAAACCAAATAGATTCTTAAACCTATCACTCTCCTCTCGAACATTGTGTCGTCACGTGTCAACGCAACTCCCGTGCACGTTACTGATAGGTTTAGCGTAAGAGAAGAGATCGAGAGAGATCTCAGAGATGGAGGAGAAGAGAGAGATCGAGTTGCGTCAATGGAGGAGAAGAGAAGCTTGAAGATTAGTGAAGGACATGTGGAGAATATTGTGCTGGAACCGGCTGACGTTTTAGCGTCCCGTGGTCGTGCGGATGGCAAGGTGGAACTGTTGGTGCGTTGGACGAATTCGTTAGAGCATGAGAACTCGTGGATGTTGTTGGAAGAGTTTGTCAATCATTTTCCAGATTACAAGCTTGAGGGCAAGCTTGCTCTTGGTGGGGGGGGGTATTGATAGGTTTAGGCGTACATATGAGAGGAGAAGATTTAAGAAGAATGGAGTACAGAACGAGGGAGAAAGAACGCGGGAAGAAGCTTGAAGATTAATGAAGGACATGTGGCTTTAGCAAATAATAGATATAAATACTTGTATTGTTTCTGTTAGACGGTTATCGAGATTTTACAATTGTGAATCTTAGCTTATGAGCTGAGAGCTACTCAGGTGATAGAGTAGTAGAGGATTCAGGTGATAGAATCCTCCACCATTGTAATTCTTAACTCATTTCATCAATAAAACAGTATTTCTTGGCGGTTATGATCTCTGATCTTACCAATTGGTGCGGTGAAACTGTTCCGAACACGCGAGACGCTGACGAGTTAGGGTTCCAATTGCGTTTTTCACGAATCTTCTCGATGTCGAAGGCGAAGATAGTATCGGAGAGTCTAATAACCGACATGGCAGAGGAAGATGAGATCAAGGAGTCCGATATGACGGTGGACTTCTTACGCGGCGGTTACTTGAGGCTTAATCGAGCAATGAAAGAGGTGGAAATGAATCAAGAGAAGACGAATCAGGAACTCCACATGATGCGTTAGATATTGGAGCGCTTAGATCCGTTACGGAATCAACAACATCAATCACAACCTAGTCAATCGCGAGATCAGGTATCCTCTCGACACAAGGAACATTACCGGGATGAACAGTCGCTAGGTTATCGGTCTGGAAATATGAATTTAGATACTCGTGATTCAATGTTGAAAAAGATTCGTATGCCTGTATTCTCTGGGAAACAACCGTATGTGTGGATTGTTGATGTTGAACGCTGGTTCAGTATTGGACGATATGATGATATGGAGAAGCTAGAATTGGTGGCGTTGAGTTTAGAAGGAAGTGTGAAAAAGTGGTTTGGGTGGGAGCTAAAGAGGAGAGGTTTTCGCAATTGGCAAGAGTTCAAAGAAAAGTTAGTGTTATGTTTCACTGAATCAATTGAGGAGGAGCCTGCGAGTCGTCTCATTGCTCTCAAACAAACTGGATCCATTGCTGATTACGTCAGTGAGTTTGAGGAGTTGTCAGAATTGGTTCCGGGGTTAGACGATGAGTTCTTGATCAAGGTCTTCTACAATGGTCTGTCACAGGAGATGAAAGAAGTTATCAGAATGAAAGAGCCAAGAGGACTAGAGAATCATATTTCTGCGGTCTTACGGATGGAAACAAGTGTCTTTTGTAAGGTTGTCAGTACCAGCAGTAAAGCGGATACACGTTATTCTCAGTCAAATCCAATGAAATCTTCCTCTGGTTACAATTCACAGAGACAAGGGGGCGAAACTGACAACAAGAAACAACAACCTGCAATCACGCACAAGAAGGACGTTTTGGCTAATACTCCAGCTACGGACTTACGCCCTAGATTGAAACATTCCAAGGAGGAGTTGGATCGAATGCGTCGGGAGTTCATTTGTTTCAAATGTGGCGTGTCTGGTTGGACACGAGCTCACATCTGTCCTAATAAGGAGTTGCGCATCATCACAGTGGTCAATGGTATGGATATGGAGGTTTTGGATGAGGAAGATGATGAAGAAGAAGACATCGTATATACACCAGCGAAAGAAATGAGAGTTTTGTCTCTGAATTCGTTTTTGGGAAAACATTCACCAAGAACAACGAAGCTTTATGGGAAGATTAATGACATCAAAGTCATCATTATGATCGACAGTGGTGCTTCCCATAACTTCATTACTCCGGCGACGGTGAAGAGGCTCAAGCTGAAAATTTGTGTTGATAAGAGCCTCAACGTTCTGCTAGGCAATGGAGTAACAGTCAACAGCACAAGCGTGTGTCAATCTGTTGCGTTCAACTTAGCAGACAATGAATTCACCTCTGAATTCATAGCTTTGGAATTGGGAATGGTCGATGTTATTTTAGGTGTTCAGTGGCTGGAGACGTTAGGGAAATGCGAGGTTGATTGGAAAACACAAGAGATGTCATTCATGTATAATGGTCGCAGAGTGACTGTTTATGGCGATCCATCACTGCATTGTTCCTCACTCTCATTTAAGTCACTGTCTCCTATCTTTAATGCTGATATGGGAGGAAGAGGAGAGCTCCTCTTATCAGCAAGCGAGGTAACAACCACCATTCGAAATATTCCGAGAAAGCTGCAGACTCTTCTGGACAAGTTTGATCAGGTTTTTGCAGTACCAACGGGCTTACCACCTTTCTGTGGGTATGATCATTCGATTAACTTGCTTCCAGGAGTGTCTGCAATATCTGTGCGTCCCTATAGATATCCGCATACAACAAAAGCTATCATGGAGAAGATG